ACTATAGTTCCACTCTGGCTTTTTGGTAGTTTATGGAGGTAAGAGTGTCTCAGACTTTCCTGGCCGCCTGAGTAGCTAGTATTACAAACATGAGCCGCCAGTGCCAAGCTTCCATTTACCCTTGGTGTTGTTTTGTTTTTGGTGGTACTGGAGTTTAAACTTAGGCCCTTCAAGCACTCTCCAACTTGATCCATTCCCTCCCTCGGCCTACCATTTACTTTTCTTTTCTTTTTTTTTTTGGGTGCCCATCCTTAGGTGCTGTCCTTCAGGATTTTGGTTTTTTTGGTTTTTTTTTTTTTTTGCCAGTTGTGGGGCCTGAACTCTGGGCCTGGGCGCTGACCCTCAGCTCTTCAGCTCAAGGCTAGTGCTCTACCATTGAGCCACAGTACCACTTCCAGCTTTTTCTGCTATGTGGTGCTGAGGAATCGAACCCAGGGCCTCATGCATGCAAGGCAAGCACTTTACCACTGAGCCACCTTCCCAGCCCCTTTGTTATTTTTTTTTTTAGTTTCCTGCTCAAGACTTTTGCTCTACCATTTGAGCCACAACCCCATTTTCAGCTTTTGGGTAGTTAATTGGAGATAAGAGTCTCATGGACGTTCCTGCCCAGGCTGGCTTCAAACACAATCCTCTAATCTCAGCCTTCTGAGTATCTAGGATTACGGGCATAAACTACCAGTGCCCAGCTCCACCATTGCCTTTTTTTTTCTTTATTGCCATTCCTGGGGCTTGAACTTAAGGCTTGGGCACTGTCCTGAGCGTCTTTTATTCAAGTCTAGCATTCTATCACTTGAGCCACAGCACCACTTCTAGCTTTTTCTATTTATGTGGCACTGAGGAATTGAATCCAGGGCTTCAAGCATGCTAGGCAAGCATTCTACCACTGAGCCACATTCCCAGCCTTCCATCATTCACTTTTAAAAGCACCATATTAAAAATGGGGTGAGAGAAGCCTAGCACCAGTAACTCATGCCTATAATCCTAACAACTACGAAGGCTGAGATCTGAGAATCGCAGTTCAAAACATGCCAGGGCAGAAGATTCAGCAAGACTCATCTACAAAATAACCAGCAAAACAACTGGACTAGAGATCTAGCTCAAGTGGCAGAGCACCAGCCATGAGTGGGAGAGAACACAAGGCCCTAAGTTCAAGACCCCAGTGCTAGCATAAAAAGCTGAGGCTAGAACTCAGGTGATAGAGTGCTTGCCCAGCATGGGCCAAGTCCTGGGCTTAACCCCCAGCACTGCTCACTTTTTTATTTTTTTTTTGGGGGGGGGGATCCGGTCCTGGGGCCTGAACTCTGGGCCTGGGCGCTGTCCCTCAGCTCTTCAGCTCAAGGCTAGCGCTCTACCACTGAGCAACCTTCCCAGCCCGGGAAAAAGATTTTATGGATAACAAATTACTGAATCAGTTATTTCTTTTTTTTTTTGTCAGTTGTGGGACTTGAACTCTGGGCCTGGGCGCTGTCCCTCAGCTCTTCAGCTCAAGGTGAGTGCTCCACCGCTTAAGCCACAGCGCCACTTCCGGTTTTCTAGTGGTTTATGGGAGATAAAAGTCACAGTTTCCTGCCTGGGTTGGCTTTGAACGGTGATCCTCAGATCTCAGCCTCCTCAGTAGCTAGTATTATAGGCGTGAGCCACCAGCTCCAGGCTGAATCAGTTTTTTCTTTATAGAAAAATTTTAGCGGGGCGCCGATGGCTACACCTGTAATCCTACTCAGGAGGCTGAGGATCACAGTTCAAAGCCAGCCTGAGCAGGAAAGTCCCTGAGACTTTTTTTTTTAATATGTTTTTCATTGTAAAAATACTGTACAGAGGGGTTACAATTACATGAGTAAGCTAATGAGTACATTTCCTATGGTGTATTGTTACGGCCTCCTTTCCATCCCTTCCCTCCCCACCTCCCCAACTCCCCCCCCCCCAAGTTGTAAAGTTCATTTTCAACATAGTGTCTCATACATCTCATTGTTACAATGGGTCAACCTGTATCCTTATTTTAGCATTTTGTTATTTCCCTTCACCTCCCCAAATTAGAAAACTGTATATACAGAATGCAGGGCCCCGACATCAAATACAGAACACATAAGAGAAACAAAAAAATCACATAGTATATTTTAAATACATTAAAAACAATGGCAAGAAAGAAAAAAAAAACCCTTGTGTCCCTATCTTGGGGTCCATTTCACCTAACATCATCTAATATGATCATACATACATAGTCCTGAGACTCTTATCTCCAATTAATCACCAGAAAACCAGAAGTGGCACTGTGCTCAATTGGAAGAACGTTGACCTTGAGCTGAAGAACTGACAGACAGCTCCTGGGCCCAGAGTTCAAGCCCCATGACCGACAAGGGGAAAAAAAATTCAGATCAATACATTTTCACCACATACTTTTTCTATACTGATTGTGTGTGTGTGTGTGTGTGTGTGTGCGCGCGCGCGTGCGCGCTGTTAATGTGGTTTGAACTTATGACCCTTTGCTCTCAGGCTGGCTTGCTTATGCCTCCAGCATTTTACTGATCAATTAAAGATGGAATCCGACAGAACTTTTTCTGTGTGAGCTGATTTCAAACCCAGATTCAGGGACTCCTGAGTAGCTAGGATTCCAGGTGTAAGCCACTGGCACTTGGCTAGTTTAGGTGTTAGCCTTTGGAGATGTGTGTGTGTGTGTTAGCCTTTGGAGATGTGTGTGTGTGTATGTGTTGGAACTGGAGCTTTGTGTTCAAGGCTACTGCTCTACCATGGCTGAGACGTACGTACATACGTGTGTGTGTGTGCGCGTGTGTGTGTGTGTGTGTGTGTTGGAACTGTGGCTTGACCTTAAGAGCTTAGCACTGTCCCTGAGCTTTTGTGTTCAAGGCTACTGCTCTACCATGGCTGTTTCATTTAGTTATTTATTTTATGTCAGACATGGAGCTTTAAGTGGGGGGGGGGGCGTGGTGGAAGGGGAAAAGGGGGGGGGGGGGGGTCAGGGAGGCTGGGCATGTCCCTGAGCTCTTTTTGCTCAAGGTTAGCACTCTTCCACTTTGAGCCCTAGAGCAACTTCCAGTTTTCTGGTGGGTAACTGTAGATAAGAATCTCATGGGTTTTCCAGTCCAGGCTGGCTTTGAACTGTGATCCTTACATCTGAGCCTCTTAAGTAGCTAGGATTGATTATAGGCATGAGATACCAGAGCCCAGCTTGGTATGTCTTTTGGTGCTGAGGATTGAACCAAGGGGCTCACACATGCTGGGTAAGCACTTTACCATTGAGCTACATCCCCAACCCTACCTTGTTTTAATTAAGGAAAATTACAGCTAAAGAGGATTGGTTCCAGAGTCTACACAGATAAAATCTATGGATCCTCAAGTCTTTTAGAGAAAATGGTGAAATATTTGATTGTATGTTGCATAACATACTGTATATAAGCTATGAAAATAGATATTCCAGTACTTTAAAACAACTCTAGATTTTTTTTTGGGGGGGGTCGGTCGTGGGGCTTGAACTCTGGGCTTGGGCATTATCCCTCAGCTCTTCAACTCAAGGCAAGCATCCTACCACTTGAGCCACAAAGCCACTTCCGGTTTTCTGATTGCTTTCTTGGAGATAAGAGTCTCACAGACTTTACTGCCCCAGCTGGCTTTGAACCAGGATCCTCAGATCTCAGCCTCCCGAGTAGCTAGGATTACAGAAGAGAGCCACTGGCACCCTGCCTAGATTTCTTTTACTACCTAAATACAATGAAAATGCTATGTAGATAGTGTTTTATACTGTATTTAGGGAATAGTGACAAAATGTGTACATGTTCAGCACACCATTTTTTTCAATTTTTCTTTGTTTAAAGACAAATCTAGCCAGGCTCCGGTGGCTCACACTTCTAATACTAGCTACTATTAAAGGTCTAAGAATCAAAGTTCGAAGTCAGCCAGGCAGGAAAATGACAGACCCCCCCCCAAATCTGGTTAGCCTTTACAATTAGGGGTGGGAGGTTGTACAGTCTTGATTTATTGCCAGGATAACCTTTTTGCAATTTTTTTTTGAGAGGTGGTCTTGCTTTGTATCCAGGTAAACTCCAAGGCAAGATCCTCCTGCTTCACCTCCCAAGTTTAGTGAAAGAAAAAAAAAAACACGAAAAATCCCTGCTTCTTCCAACATTAAAGGTTCAACTAAAACATTATCAATAGCCTGATTGTTTGCACAACAAAATCTGTAGTCAATTGGGCCAGTGAATTTACTGGAATTCTTCCAGGCCCCACCTTACTTTAAGAGGAATTATCAAGGGCATCAACAATTCCAGGTTTCCAGCCCTGGATATATAAAGGCAATTGTTTTATCTGTCAACAGACTAAAGCGATCTGGAAACGGATTTCTTTCCCATTTATCTCCAGAGCAAGTGCCAAAGAAAGGACTATAACCATTCAGCTAAAAAGCAGGTTCCTGGAAAGACAAGATTTCTTCAGCAATACCCTGGATTATTCATGTTCAATCTGATGCAATTCTCCAGGTCTCAAGAATTAAAAGACACCTCCTGCTTCGGGCCGCCCCGGCCCCAACGGAGAGGGGCAGAAGGAGCGGCCGCAGCAGGCTGGGTCCGCCGCTCTCAGCCCCGGTACACCGGCCGGGTCTTCGGGACCCCAGAGCAACGCTGTCCCCGCCCGGGACAAGGTACTAGGGGCCGGGGTGATGGCCCCCATCTCTCCCTGAGCCCAAGGAAAGAAAAGACGCAGGGTTGCACTTCAACCTCTCAGCGGGGAGATCGGGTACTCGAGACCCGTGGGCCCCAACACCCGCCAGCACGCGAGGGGGGTCCAGCCCGGCACGCTGCCGACCGGCCCCGGAGCCGGGCAACGAGACGGCGCAAGCGCGGGACGGCCTCGGCGGGGCCCTATTAGGGGGACGGCGCAGGCGCGGGGCCCGCTAGGGTCTGCGGGGCCTCCCGGGCCTGGCTGCGGGGGCGACGCGGAGGAGATAAAATGACCCGCCGGCGCAGGTTGAAGGGACCCGGCCTGGTTCTTACCGCGCGGCACCGCCTCGCTCTCACGCTGGCTTAGAGTAGGGGCCGGGCGGCAAGCTCGCCCGGTGGCGCAGCCCAGATCCGTTGAGTCCAGCCTCAGGGTAGCAGCCAACCCCGCGGCGCCGCTTGCCAGGCCCGCCCTGCCTCCTTCTGGACTCCGCCCTCTTCCCCGCCCCTCTCAGGCGCCACCACCCCCTACGCAGGCGCCGTATTGGTCCCGTCCGCGTCCTGCCACTGCGCAGGCGCCCACCGCTCCGCCCACTCCCCGTGCCACCCCCCCCTCCCCTTTACGGGACTGCGCAGGCGCCAAACTACAAGCGCCTTTTGTAGGTACTTGTGATTGCCTCTGGTATTTACAAGTTCTGACCGTAGATATAATGTCAGTGTCCTTGTTAAGTTAAATCTTTATTGGAAAAAATCTTTTCAAAATTCCCTAACAGTTTTTTATTTCATTTTTCCTATGTATCTCTGAGTGTATTTCTAATGAATGAATTCAGAAAGCAGCAACCATTTCAACCCAATCCCTATACATGCAACTGATTATTGCACTTAATATAAACAGGTACCCAATAAACAGGCTCTTTTTCTTCCTTTTTTTTTTTAACCAAAATAGCCAGCTGGGTGAGGATGGCTCCCACCTGTAATCCTAGCTATTCAAGAGGCTGAAATCTGAGGACACAGCTAAAAGCATGTGAGACTCATCTCCAGTTAACCATCAAAAAGCCAAAAGTAGAACTGTGACTCAAGTGGTAGAGCAGCGCCAGCCCTGAGCAAAAAGGGGGAAAAAAGGCTAAAGGACACCACCTAGGCTCTGAGTTCAACCTGCAGTATGCAAAAACAAAACAAAATAGCATAGCCATAATGTTTTAACACTCGGTCTACATTAGGACTAAGGACTAAGATCATGGCACTCACAGCCACAGCCTGGGTTGAAATCTTATTAGCAATCTTTGCATCCCACTATTCTGTACTTATAAGTTGTAGTGATCAAGTAGACTGAGCACATGCAGAGGCTGTAGCCCAATGCCAGCACCCTGAAGATGTCTAGTGAGTGCACCTGGGCATTAATTCTCCATCTATACTGGAATTTCTAATCCAAAAACCACTCAACATATGCCACATCATTTTGATCTTCATACTAACTTTGAAAATTTGAGGTTCAAAGAGATTATTTCACTTTCTAAAGACCACTCAGACCAGGAGCCAGTGGCTGACTCCTATCTACTCAAGGGGGGCTGAGATCAAAGGATTAAGGTTTGAAGCCAGGCTAGGCAGGACAGTTCATGAAATTCTTATCTCCAATAAACTACTCAAAAAGAGCCAGAAGTGGTACTGTGGCAATAGAAGCTCAAGCACAGCACCCAGACCCAGAGTTCAAGTCCCAGGACTGGTTAAAAAAAAAAAGGAAAGAAAGAAAGGAAGAAAGAGAGAGAGAGAAAGAGAGGGAAGGGGCTGGGAAGGTGGCTCAGTGGTAGAGCACTTGCCTTGCATGCTCAAGGCCCTGGGTTTGATTCCTCAGCACCACATAGGCAAAAAGAAAAAAGCCGGAAATGGCATTGTGGCTCAAGTGGTAGAGCGCTAGCTTTGAGCTGAAGAGCTGAGGGACAGTGCCCAGGCCCAGAGTTCAGGCCCCATGACCGGACCCA